GCACCAATTGATCCACTTCGTCCACCAAATCGTCGTTCATCACACACTTCCTCCCTTCACCGCCTTCATCATAAACGTTTTCATGTCCTTGTTTGAATTTCCTGTCAAGGGATCTTGAAACATCGAGAAGTGCAAAAAATTTAAGGATTTTCTATATGTATGAATGTTAGTGTTTGTGTAGGGGAGAAGAACGATTTTGTTCACTCTCCTGCAAGCTTAACCCCTGTGGTTTCTGACAAAAGTTTTTGAAATTCATGTGTATTGTCATTAGGTTTGGATTTAATTAATTAATTAAATAATATTTAATAACAGATAGCGTCACCAAATGTCGCTTAGAAAGTTAACCAATTCGATGCGGGAACTTTAATTGTCAGAAAGACACTTAAATCAAATGTTAAAATTTTCGGATTTTAAAGGAAGTAGTTAATTTGAATAAGTAAATAGGACTGAATTTACAAATAGCATACTTTTGTACACAATTTCTATTTAAAATAGATTCAACTACGAAATTTAAGTCGAGAGCTTAAATATATATGTATTTGTTACTAAAAATATATTAATTGAAACGAATAAAGAAAAGAAATGTAGTGAAAGAAGGAAAATACGCTATACTTGCTAGTAATCGCATGGCTCCAAGATACCAGCACGTTTTGTCATAACGCAATGTATCACTGCTAATCGGCTTTACGTTTTTACTCCGCTCATCACATAGACCAGCGATTCCCAACCTGTGGTACGCGTACCCCTGGGGGTACGCGATAGGTTCTTTAGGGGTACAGAAAAAAGTTAGTTATTATGGCGGAAAAAATATTATATTATGTATCCCAAATTAATAGTATTAAAAAATTATTAGGTAAAAAATGTTCCTTGCAACAATCACAACTTTATTATACATTTCCAAATGCAAAAATAGAAAAAAAAATTATTCTGCCGATTGTACAATGCAACAGATCAATAAATGTTGCGCATTCGGTCAATGGTAGTGGGGATACCATTATACGTGATTAGTGATTATGCTACGACTTTTGATGATGGGGTGTGTTACCGTTATTATTATTATCTCTCAACAATATTCCCACGTTGTTCCAAAAAGTGTGTTTTTTGTTTATCAAAAATATTTTTTATTGTTAGCAAGGAAAAGGACATATAGTTAGTTTCTCCAGATTTTCCCGAGATATCTCGTTTCAGCATTGGAACGTTTTTCAAAGCAAATGACGCTAGTTGTTATAATTTTATATTAAAACTAACTTCCAAAATATAATTTGTATTCGTTTTACATTAATTAATATACATATATATATATATATATTGTTTGTGCAAAATAAGAAAATATTTTCGGATGATACGATAGCCATGATTATTTTTTTCAAAAACGGGAAATTGTCGTTAGCCATCCACAAAAGTTCAACCCAGGGCGACACGCAACGGAGAGAAATTTCGAAATTAGATACGTTAATTCCATTTTTGATTTATCATTAGATATGGATAAGTGGTTGGAACAAGGAACAAAAGAAGAGCTAACACATAATGTGGAAAGGGTTCAATTGACAAATACCTCTCAAGACAACAGTACTTCGGATCTAAACACTGGAAAAGTCTCGAAAACAGAGAAAAACAGAAAGTACTGCAATGAATATATTAAGTATGGATTTACTTATATAGGAAATGAAAACTGCCCTAAACCACAATGTGTAGTATGTGGAGATGTTTTATCTAATGGCTGCATGAAACCTTCCTTACTCCTACGACATTTACGAATGAAGCATCCCAATTATAAAAACAAGGAACATAATTTTTTTAAACGCTTGGAGCAAAATATGAGTAAATCGAGTTTGAAGCCGTACATCCAGTCATCTGACAAAAATCTCGAAAATGCCGTTGAAGCTAGTTACCGTATTAGTTACCGTATTGCTAAATGTGACAAAAATCATACCATAGCTGAGAATTTGATTCTTCCCTGTATAAAAGATGCTGTTCCGCTGTATGCTCGGAGAAGACCAAGTACCTAAAATGAACAACATTCCTCTTTCGAACAATACAATATCTCGAAGAATTCACGAGATGTCTGATGATGTTGAAATGACAACAATAAGCCGAATTAAAAATAGTAAATTTTTTGCTATTCAAGTTGATGAAAGCACAGATGTCGCCAATTTTGCTATTTTGCTTGTTATAGCAAGATATTTGGTCGATAACGAAATTGAAAAAAACCTATTACTTTGTCATCCTTTGTCAGAACGCACAAGAGGTGAGGACATTTTTAATGCTATTGATTATCATGTCAAAGAAAAGGGAATTGATTGGTCTAACTGCTGTGGATTATGTACCGATGGTGCCAAGTCTATGTCAGGTATTTACTCCCGCCTTCGCAGTCGTGTAATGAAAGTAGCCCCGAACGTAAATTGGAGCCATTGCTGCATCCATAGACAAAATTTAGCTTCTAAAAGCCTTCCTCATAAATTGAAACTTGTTCTTGATGAAGCTGTCCAAGTGGTTCATTTTATAAAATCGAGGTTCACAAACGCAAGAATTTTCATAGCTCTATGTGACGACATGATGAGTCTTCATTCTACATTGCTCCTTTATACAGAAGTGAGATGGTTATCTCGTGGTAAAGTTCTTACCAGACTATTTGAGCTTAGGAGTGAGGTACAAGTTTTTTTGAAAGCAATTCTTTCAAGCTCTCATCCAAATTTCATGACGATAAATGGCTTCAGGCTCTCGCATATTTATCAGATATTTTTCTGCATATAAATAAGTTAAATTTGGCATTCCAAGATAAAACAACGATATTTACTGTGTCTGAAAAAATTGAATCTATAATTAAAAAATTTGATTTTTGGAAGTTATGTATTAAAAATAGTCAACCTGAAGTATTTGAAACATTGCACAGTTTCTTATCTGAAAACAAATTACGACTTTCTCCAGAATTAAATCAACAAATAGTTGAACATTTACAAGGATTAAAATCGGATTTTCAGAAATACTTTCCAAAACCTGACAACACAAACTATTGGATTCTAAATCCATTTGAAGAGGAATACTTTCAGGTAGCTAAATTATCAAGTAAGGAAAAAGAGAATTTGATCGAAATTTCAACCGATTCGATTTTAAAATGCCAATTTAAATCAAAATCTCTTTTTAACTTTTGGGCAGACATTAACAAAGAATTTGAGCTACTTTCTGATAAAGCACTTCAATTTTTGTTGCCATTTACAAGTACTGTGCTTGTGGAAAGAGCTTTTTCTTCCTATCTGTATATTAAAAATAAGTATCGCAATAAGCTGAAGGCAGTTCCAGATTTGAGATTGTACCTCGCATCAGTCGAACCTGACATAAAAAAATTATGCGAGAAAAAACAAGGACAAGGCTCACACTGAACTCCTTTCATACGAAATTAAATACTTTGAAGTTAGTTTTTTGTGCAATTTTATTTTTATTGTAATTTTTATATTTGTATTGTAAATGTGTTTATTTTTACATGTATGAACGTAAATATATTCTCTTTATCAACATTATAAATTAGTTTTTTTAAATTAAAAGTTACAACATGTAAAATTAACAATACGATTACTTACTAAATTTCTTAAATGAGGGGTACAATATAGAGAAATGACATGTCACGGGGTACGCTAATGAAAAAAGGTTGGGAACCACTGACATAGACCGTAATTTACTTTCTTATAAAAAAATTAAAATGTTGTCTATAGAGATATATCCTGTTACAAAAGTAAATAACATATACTCAGCTAGGTAAATACTACATGTTACACAACTTGCTTGTAACGACGTTCTCCTTACAAGTAAATTCAAGTGATTATCACATAGGCCATATATACTTTCTAGAATTTACAGCGGGTTGTATTTCTGCAATCTATACAATATTTTTACTTCAAATTCGTAAATTTACGTAATTGGACTTTCTTCTGTATTATGTTTAATTTACCATTAACTATAATAGACACATTTCTTTCACCTGATTAGTATTGGTTAAGATATCAGAGTAATGTATTACAAATTTTATAGAATAGTGTGTGTTACGACTTCAAATTTACCAATATAACTTTCTACTCTCATGCATACGAAATAAATTTTTCGTGATCAATAATGCATAAAAAATGTAAGTTCGGCAAGTTTAAGCATTCAAACCTACAACAACAGTAAGAAAAAATCGATAAAAACAGACATTTTCTCTACATTTGTTAAAAAATCAAAAGACAACTTAAAAACAAAAGCATAAGTTTCCTTATTGTTTCTAATTGTTCGGCTCGTCCCGAAACTACTGGACTTACAAACAATAGAATTAAAATTTTACTATTAAATTGAAAATCTGTTTGTATCGTTTGCTCTAAGGGCTAAATAAAAAACTTCATAAGATATTTATTATTTCAGAATAAAAAGCTTAAATATGTAACCATTCAAATGTAAATTTCAGCATACACAATAGGATTGGCACACTTTTTCATTTGACACGGAACAACAAATGAAAACACGTGTAACTAAAGTATATCAAAAATTACTTCTAGGAGGCTAGTTTCAAAATTTGTGGAGTCAAACAAGGGGGAAAAAACTAATGACTTTACACCAACTTTCGAAATGAGTAATTCTGATACTTAAACCCAGAAAAAATTGTAAATGAAATTTAAGTGTCTACATAATAAATCAGAAAATAATTGCGATGAAGAATAAGAAATTTAAAATACAATCGCAACTACATACGTGATCGCAAAATACTTCGAAAGTTGCAAAGTGTTTTTGAAACAAGATAAGAAATATTATGGTGTTTATCGTATCCTGAAATTTACTGATGAATAATAACAGAGGAAAGAAAATAAATTAAAAAACAACAAATTTTCAAATTCGTTTTTTTCGTACAATAAAAATATAATAAAGGAATCTTTATTTGATTAGGTAATCAAATAGTTTTTATAAAATGTCTATTTAAACAGCATAGAAACGTATTTATTCTTTCCAGCTTTGTGTATCGATATCAACAGTACTTATAAGACTACAACTTCAGACGCTTGGTTTGAATTTTTAGCATCCCGAATAGAATTATATTCCATTTCGAAACTATTAAAACGATTATTGTCATTTTTCTTTGCAAATAATTGATAGAGTAGGCTAAGAAATACAGGAATAACAGCCACAGCATGAAAAAACGTTTGTAGAGATATAAGAACAACGATTTTCACGAAGGTGGTGTATGCGTACATACTACTATATAAAAATATAAGTAATACGATAATTGTGGAAATAGAGCCTTGAAGAATAGGAAAACCAACGTGAAAAAGCGATTCCTTAAGCTTTTCTTTCGAATTAGAATGTGACGAAGTCAGAAAAGCATAAGATATGTGAGTCGGATAATTAACGCAAAATCCGTTACAAAGTATTATGGCCATCATTGAAAAAACGTCAAGATTGACAGCCCATAACGACATGTAGCCAACGGTTTCGACAATTATTGAAACAACAGCTATTGCAACAATTATTCCACAAACAATGTTTGGAACAAACGAAAGAAAAACAACAAATAGTACAACAGCTGTTAACCAAAATAACTGAAGAGTAATTTGTTTGGTGATAATACTTTGTTCTATCGATGAAGAAAAATAGGAATGGATAATAATTGGTAAATCTGATTGTTCCGCTAATTGCATCATGTCAATAATTACTGTACGCTCAGTCTGTCCATGAGTAATATTTTTAGTTACCAAGAAAAATCGACTGCATGTAATGTCTGTATAATTGTTGTTAAAAACAATATCATTTGAAAACTGTTTGGCTGCTTTAATTCTCAAGAACACATTGCGAAGGCCATCAATGAAATCTTGTTTTTGTGTCATGTCATAACCTCTTAAGGCAAATTTTGAGACCGGATGATTCTGAAATTCTTTGTAATATTTCAACCAGGAAAATTCGAATTCCGAACCGGCGACGTTTGGGTGAGATTTAAATTTTAACATTATATTTTCAATTGATTTCTGAACGTCTTCCTGAGAATAATCTAATGTTTTGTTTATGACAATTTGAACAGGAAATGCAAATTCTGTAAAGTCGCCATAAAATATTCGGTATCCTTCTGTTATTTTAGAATCATTTGAATAAAATTTAAAAGTATTTAATCCCTCATGTAGAAAAGTTACTCCCCAAATACCGATGGTAAGATTAACAATGTACAAAATAATAATCATTACTTTAGTGAATGAATAAGAAAGAAATTCAGCGAAATATTCTCTGAAAAAGTTCATGAAAGCTAATTCATTTTTCTCACTTGATTGATTTTCATTGCTTCTTTCTGAAAAAAAGAAAAAAATGTTAATAATGGAAAGTTGTTAAAAACATAATAATACTTCAGAAATAAGTTTTCATATGCTGAAAATTTAATTTACTTAAAATATTTTTACATATGAAAAAATTTAATTATTTATATTAATTTAGTATGAAATATTTTTTCTATAGAATATTATTGAATTATTTCGTAACAGATAAATACTATACTTATAAAATCACCTATCGGCACTGTAAATATATTACGCTTTAAAATAACTAAACACATTAAATTGTTTCATTTTAGATTTATATTTTTGACAGCGTATTTCAATATTGCGTATTTATTTCTACATGAAAAATTATTAATCCCATACAAATCGTTATTTCTCTTCATTTAATTATTTTTAATTCTTCGAATTTTTATACTAATTTTTATACTATTGTTTTGAAAATCCTCTTCTACTCTTCAGTGCGATTTCTCTGTTCATTTCTTTATTTACATTATTATTTATTAACACAGTTGTAAATTAACAACATATAAATTTTCTACTTACATTTTTAACCACGCGACATTCTCGTGTTAAGTTTGTTTCAGAGATTGTTGATAAACACTTCTGCAGTTTTTTTAATTGAATAAAATTCTGTAAGAGTTTTCCTACTGCATTAATAATTTTTTTATCTGAGATCTTTAAGTCAAAAGACTATTTTCTTAGGTTTATTATCTCTATCGTAAATTTCATTAATGACATTTTACTAATTTTTTCCGTTTAAACATTAAAATTGTTTTAAATTTTCTGAAAAATTTCTTTTAAAAGGTTCTCTATGGAAAATTTCAAAAGGTAGCTACAAATTCTTCATTCACTTTTGTTAAGATGTTAAAATAACCATTTGTTACTATGTCGTATAAAGCATGATAACTTAAGAAAAGGGAATCGCTGTTGTTTTGCTGATGTTTTAGTAAATTAACATATACGGAAGTACTATCAAATCTTCTGTTCTGTAGCCTTCAAGAGAACTTAGCACATTGCTTGGCGGCTGGAATAATTTTGTTTTTCATCCTTTAACTTATGTAACATCTGGACATACTATGTAGTTTTATAAGTTGAAAGTGAAGGGTCTCCTAGATTTGAAGGCATAGTTGTAGCACAATGAACACCCGAGTTAGTCTTTTAGTAGATGATAACTCGTCGTTATTGCAGTTTCTACACGTCGAACCGTTTTGTACAGTATGCTAAGTTCATCTAACGTAGTGGTATCGTGTAAATTACGCGTTCGCCCGAAATTGGTAATCAACAGTATGATATTGGCACTGGTAAAAGCAATCATTCTGAATTTCTGTGTAAAATTTGTTTGTATTCCGTGTAAGTTAATCCACTGAAACTCAGTTTTACAAAAGCGATTCTCTTCTCTTCTTGGATTAACATGTTTTACACGACCTGTATACGAATGATTTTATTATCATATCCATTAAAAATGAATAAGACTTTACATTCCCCGTGTATAAAACACCCGTTAAAAATTAATTATTTGGTTGAAACAGAGAGAGGTACAGTACAGTACAATTACTGAAATATTCTTAAAAATGAATGAATCCTAAGAAATTTTCAATAAATTTAGAAGAATGTTTGAAGTGGGTAAGTGTAAAAATAATAACAATATATTAAAGTTATTACTAAAAATAAATGAATAAATTTACTTGAGTATTCGTTATTATACGGTTGAAAACCGTAAAGGAAATTTTTCAGTTTGATAAAATTGCAGAAAAAATAATTAACACGAGAATGTCGTAAATATGTGTCATTAAACAATTGATATATATTAAAAAAATAAAAATTTTATTTAATTAATAATAAAGTAATTAATGAACAGAAAAACATAATAAAAAAGGGAAAAGGATTCCTTAAATTTAAATTTTTCAAATAAAAATGACAGACGTTCTACTACAGTAATGTTCTTACATATAAAGATGTGTTTTTACTTTTAATATTCAATGTTAATCAAAGATTCGAAGAAATTTTATAAACATTTCAGTTTAATTCCGTAGAAATTAAACACATAATTTTAATTTTTGAGTGAATTTCCAGTCATATTAATTAAATATGTTTAAGGAATCATTTATTTTAATGTAATGTTTCAGCTCCAAAAAATTATATCGACTGCAGTCCAAAACTTGTATATGTGGAGTACTTTTAATCTGTTTAATATAAAAAAATCATCACCTTTTGCAACTTTGAATGTAAATGCATTTAATGATTTAACTTCTCTGTATCCACTAAGAGCTAGACACGATCCGAAAAACAGAATCTGGTACAAATAAGTGAAGCAAACGCAAGTCGTAGCGTAATAAGAGAAGGCTCTCACACCAGGAAACTCTGCAGTCATAGCAATGCAGAAAGATAAAATGTTTGTCAAAGTTGTTATGGTAATAGAAACTGCAGATTTAGAGTAAGTTTTTCCCATTCGTGCTTCCACGCTATCTTCAACATCTGTAATTCTCCAATTTGCAACTATAACGAAGGCGTCGTCTATCTCTGTAGCTGCAGATAATGTAAAATAATAAATTAAATGTTTTAATAAATAATAGAATAAAAAGTTTTATAATTTTATCGATATTAATTAAAAAACTTCGTTAAGAAAAGAGAATAAACTGCATCTAAATTTGAAAAAAATTTACAACACGTTGTTATAAGTTTAGTTGGTTTTTATATACGGTAAATATTTCAACTTAAATGTAACCAGAAAAAAATAAATTCTTATAAAACTTGCAATCATAGAATTAATTTCTGCACAAATATGAGATTGCCACTGCACAATTCAAAATTTCCATTAGATATTTTGAGTCCAATAGCATGTTAAAATATGCACTGGTCACTAGATATTTCACTTGGAAGTTCATTTCAACAATTCATGTTTTCTCGAAAGTCCGAATGTCTAGTTCGTTATTAGGATTGAATGTGTCGGATTTTTCACTAAACAACAGAAATTTATTAAAGAACAGTAAAAACATTTCAACAAAACATTAAAACTGCAACATCAATGTTAATATGAAATTTATTTTAAAATTTAGACTTCTTAAGGAATGAACGTATCAAAAAGTTGAAACATTTACCATAATAAAGCAAAATCACTTATTGTGGCGTGGCTACAATGCCGGAATGAAATTTTTAATCATAGTTTAAGTGCAAATTCATTATGAACAAACTTAAATTTAATTTTAATTTCTCAAAATTGTCAGCAATTCTGTATAGATACAACATAACATTTGATGTCTGGGTTGTGGCATCTTACAAGTTGTATTTTGACGACAGAAATAAATTATGAGCTTCACAGCTCATACACTTTAGCGGTTTTATAAAACTGATGTCCACGATATCCGAATCCATTTGACATATTCCCACATGCAACTGCATAAATTTAGTCACTACAACTAAATAATATGTTCAAATTTATACTTACCGAAAATTAGAAACGGTAGAATAATATTATACTTAATGTTTTCTACTCCGCATGCACCCATCAGTCCGAAAGAAGAAACAACTGCTAATCCAGCAGAAACAACTGCAGCAATTCCCATCCACGGCTTACTTCTTACCCAACTATTCGTCATGTACGTCATTACGCAAAAAAATGTTGCCACAATAAAAGCCACACTTATCAAAGGTGTAATCTGCTTAGCAAGAACTTCAACATCTAATTCAGTAGCTAATATTGGACACGGGTATACTTCAATAGAATGAAAGTTTAATTTGTTGACATTCGACAAAAACGCTTTACGCCATTCCCGAATCCAATGTGTTTTATTGAAATCAGATTCGTCAACAGGATAAACAAGTCTCATACATTCTACTTCTTTAACATATCCTTCCTCGTCATATTTTACTCCCCCAAAGTTAAATAACCAAATATTGTATTTGTAAGTAAACGGATCAATTTGAATAGGAAATTTCAACTTTTTTCTTCCAGAAAGTAGATAATCCATTTCTGACATTATATTTATTATGGGATTTTCCATGCACTTCTTGTTCACAATTCCACATATTACACTGTAATTTATTACTTTTTCATTTACAACTATCGTTATGTTCTTAATAATTTCATCCAAGTGTTGAATTTCGAGTAAATTGTCTTTTTGTATCAAATTGTTTCCGTATTTATTTTTAATGTAAACCATTGCCGCTTGTGGGCGATCGGTAATTCTCGTGAAATCGTAAAATTCGGATGTGTTTATAGGAAATGTTTTTTCAATAAACTGTTTATTTCTGAAGATTTTTCCTCTGTCAGACTTTACTAGATAATCTACATGTTCTGATGTTTTCAGTTTGAGTAATCCCAATGAAAGTAGTACTGATAGAAGCACTGACGCAATAATAATGTGAATTGGACATCGTGCTATAATTCTACCTAGTTTTTCAAATACAGAGGATAATGAGTCGCTTATAAAAGTTATCTTCATTATTCCGATTTTTGTAGTATACGTTATAGCAACTGATTTATGTTGTTCTTATTCTTTCCAATAAATTTCTGCAAAAACAAATAATTGGAGTTATAAAAACGGAGAATATTGAAGAATTATTCGAAAATGTTCGTAATATCATTATAATTATTTCTTTTATGTTAACATTAATTTAAAATAATTTGTGAAATCTATTTATAACGGACACTTTTTTTAAAAATTATTCCAAAGCTTCGGAGTCAGAATCAGAGTCGTCAAAAGTCCTCTCGACTCCGACTCCTTTTTACTATCCCAACTTCTTATGTATATGAAAACAAAAAAAGTATTTGAATTGTGTCACATTTGACCCTTCGAGTATTCTGCAAATCTATGCGTTTGGAGATCTCTCGAACCCAAAAAATGTCAAATAAAAAAAATCCGCGCGCGCATATGTTGGCATCTAATTTTTTTAATTTCTTTATTTTCTGTTCTGAAATATTAAACAATATTTCAGAATGAGTAAAGTTTAACTCCTTGCCGCCCACTGATTAATTAATTTAATGTAATTAAGCATAAAAAATACTTAAAACTGGAAAAAAACGAAAGAAATGTGTTAATTTTGAAGAAAAAGCTTCGAAGTTTAACTTCCTTTGTTTTGTCTTTCTGTGAAATTTGACACTGATGAGTCATTGTTTACACAGCAGGATGACCTTGAAAATATCTGGTATCGGATTTCCCGGGACATTCTCATAGACGTCTCGGGAGGACAAGGGTTTAAAGTAGGGTGAATACTAGCTGGCAATATATTTTTAAATATTTTTAAAAAATTAACATTTTTATTGCTATTTCCGACCCCCGATTTAATTAAACTTATATATAATAAAATCTATTAATTAAAAAAATTAAAAAAAAACTATTGGAGGTCGTTTTTGACATCAAAAACTAGCTTTAAATAACTTTACCGAAGTCAAATCCGTGCACTACAACTTCAGAACGATTAATTAAATTTGATAAAAAATCGCATTAATTAAAAAACTCTCCAACTGTCCAAAAACTGAGGTGTCCAATCTTTTTGTTTCTCTGGGCCGCATTGAAAAAAGTTATGAAGTTTTGGGCCACAAGTAAATTTATATATTTGTGGCCCAAGTATATTGTGAACTAATTCTTAAATATACAAGTTTATTTAAGGATTAACATGTCTAGATTATAATAATATGTATTAAAATTTTATCACCTAAAAGATTATTTTAGAAAATTACTTCTACAGACACTCAATTTTTACTTAGAAATCTAAAAAAATAAAAAGATAAATTCCTTTTATTATAAAGGAGACAAACATATATTTATTTGAAAAACAAAAACTTTTGTTTTATTTGTGTCTCTAATTAATAAAAATGAGCCAAATAATATTTTTTATGTCAAACTAAACCATGAGCATTGACCATTGAGCCAAATGATATTTTTTACGTCAAACTTAAAACAGGATAGCCAAATTTTGCAACGCTGGAAGGAATTCTAAATAAAGCTGGAATCGGGACTCAAAGGAATAATATTGACCCAAATGCGGGGAAAGGAGAGAAAGGCCAAAAGATAAAATTAGTAAGAAAGGTTAAATAGCCCTTCTGTTATGTAGAAGGTCTATTAATTTAATTTTGCAACCTTCTTCACTTATTTATCTTTTGTCCTTTCTCTCCTTTTCCCGCGAGTCTATAATTTTTTGAGTCACAACTTCAGCTTTATTTAGTATTCCTTCCTCATTCACAGATTTCCAAATATTTGAAAATATTTCCTTTCCACTCAAAAATAAAATATGTATAAAGGTTTACAACTTTGTGTAACTTCTCTTTTTGAGTTCATGCCGTTAAAATAAAAAAATAAAATAAATTAATAAAATTGTCGGTTTTGATTACACGTTTATTGGGCCGCATTGGAACTTGTCTTGGGCCGCGGGTTGGACACCCCTGCTATAGGGCATTCGAGTTTCAAAATAATTTTTGTGCTCACCAATTGATAAAACCATTGAACAGAGTTAGTTTGTTTTGGGTTCGTGCTGCGCCACGTGGAGTTTTTCAGGTTTCCTTCACGTAATAATACCTAAATAAGGGCCATGTTTTCATAAAAGATCTCTCTGTCAAAAAATCGCCGATAATTTGGTTTATGTGAATACGCGTTCCTGTCTTGAAATAAACCAAGCAAAGCAATTTTTTTAAATAATAATATAAACTCAATTAATCGATTCTCAAACCACAATTAAATACCTAATTTATGCATAAAACAACGAAAATAATAATAAGAATAACGATGATAATAATAGAGAAACTAAAACGAAAATGTAAATAATTCAGTAAAACAGCAGCAAATAAACTGTTCTCCGTAAGGTACCTTCAATACGTTTCACGAACTCGTTTCACCGGATTTAGATTCGTGTCTCTGCAAAGTTTCAGAAATTTCCGACAAAAAGCACAGAAGTTATTGAGTCTCGAAGGGGTTGAAGAAAGTCGTACCCCAAACACATACACTCTAACATTCATATATACGGTAACCTGAAATTTGTTTGCATTTCTCGATGTTTCTAGGTGCCCTGAGTCCACAAATATAAAATTATTTTTGGTGTTTTATATTTATTGATTGTCATACTGTTCTTCTAACAGAACTTTTTTCATATCTGATTTAATTATAATAATTTTATATTCTTTTGCATGTAAATATTCCAAATTTTACGATTAATTTTATGTACGTTTTTCTTTCTTACTTACTTTGAACGGTCATATAAGTTGTTTACATTATATTTATAATTGATTTCCTGCCTTGTTTGTTCGAATATTATAACTTAAGCCAGGATCAAACATATTTTTAGTAAAAGATATGTTTGATGATTTTAATGTATCGTTTAACCATTTTTCTCTACCCTTCCTTCAAGTAAATTCCGTTTAGACGACAATCACACATTGTAGAAAATATTATGTATAATTAAGTAAATTAAATAATTGGAAATGTTTTTGCAATAATATATATTTTAACATTTTAATTCTCTAAGAAATGGTAGAGTTTAGGAAATCGAATCATCAATTAAACAGCGTCAAAAATTAATATTAGATTAGTCAATTTCGAACAGTTGCTGAACAATAGAGAAGAGCATTCGTTCCATGGATCGTTGCAAAGATTTTTAATAATTATTTTCTCTAACGAATTAAAAATCTTTACCGATTCATCTTTTCAATCGTTTTTGAAATATAAATGGCATATAGAAAATAGTTCGATAAGACGAATATTTTGACAGTAAAGTCCAATCAAATACATGCTTAGGTATTGAAAATTGTTCAGCTTCAGTTCTCCCACGTGCTTTCCTGATAAACTTAACAGCTGAACAATTCCTTCTTCAAATGTAAACTCTCTGTTACCCTTATCAATAGTCACGGATAATCGAGTTAAGTTGTGAAAGTTTCCAGTTCTTCAGTTGAAAAACAAATTAATTTGTTAGATATAACCGATTTCCAAAATTTTTTGTACGTAAAAATGTAACGAAGCAATTCGTATATTTTTTTCTACATTTATCTCCGTTATTGGAAGAAGTTCTAAGACGTACGAAAGTCCTTTTTGTGACACAGCTATGCCGATTACTTTTTAAAAGTTCGTGATATTTGCGATGAGTTTTTTCTCGTTTGTCGGATTGATGATACAAGATACGAAAGCCTTTATCTGTAATGGAGCAAAATGATAACTCTAGAATTTCTAGCAGAGAACAATGTCTTCCAATAACTTTAATCACGGTGTATATATAATCACCGAACATTGCATTCTGAGCGTGGATAATGGGCTGGCTGCGTAATGTTTTCCATAATTTTTTATTCACTGAATAGAGACTGGTTTTCCATATAAGAAATTGCTAAACTCATCTTTTCATCGGCAGACAGCACATATATATCGTTGCATTAATAATTTAAACTGTGAATCCAATACTAATTTATTGAATTAGATGATTTATTTATAAACTCTTAAATTAATTTAAAAGAAAATATTCTGAAAAAATTTGATAAGAAAAATTTCATATCCTGGTCGATATGAAAATCTGCAAACAATTTCCGTACCAAGTAATTAGACAAATAATAATCGATCAACGTGTTGCCGGTATCTGGAAAATGCTTTTCCTTATTCGGTAAGAATCAGTTGCGAGCAAGTGGTAATCTTAGAATACCGTACTCCTGCTTATGATTTTTAAGAGTAAGCCAGAGAGCAATATACCTGTCAGCATGTTCTTCATTTTCTGCAATTTGACAAAAATTTGAAAGAGAAAAATAATAGTTTAGTTTAAACTAATGGATTATAAACAAGAGATAATCGGAGACTCATCTAAAAATTTTTTAAATTAGTCTCGGAAGAGGGTGAACCTAATTCTTGCACCTGTTATAAATAGGTAAGATTGGCTATAATCTAATAATCTTAATTAATTAATCTTCGCTATCGTTACTTTTTGCCCAAGTAACGCCAAACTCATGTGCTAGTTTTAATATAAAAGCCATCATCTCTTTACATGTATGAAAGTGAAATCTCTATAACTCTTACTATTTTTATGCACTCCAGGTGAAATTTTGTCTTGCTGCTCTTCATTCCACAACAGATAGTACAAAAAACTTTATTTGAAAAATGTTAGCTACTATTGTTCAATTTCTTCTAACCTCTACTATTCACAATTTTTAATCTCTACTTTCTCATTAAATAGTATTTCACCATGCTTAACACGGGGATTTCTAGTATGTCTCAAAAGTTTGCATACAATGACACAAATCAAGCCCACCAGTAGCCGAATAAATAAAACGGTGAACGTTGGTAGTTGACTAATGGTTCGTCCCTGACCAATAGGCTGGCCACCATGCAGTGTTCTGGGGTTTCTTCATGTGTCAAAAAACGAAAAAAATCCAGTTTTCATATAGGAAGTCCTGTGAGAAGTTATCCCATTGACAGATCATCGATCTGTTCCGTTGTTTTACTCCATCAATTCAATGACACAAATCTTAATGCTG